AGGTACGATCAATAACCAAGTTAGATGACTTCGAGTACAGTTGTGAGTATAACAGGCTGTCAGATGTGGCTATCACGCGTAGCTGAGGCCTTAATTTTACCGGTCAGCGTATATATTGCACTGATGTTTACTGTAGCTAGCGAAAACAAGCGGGATCGCGTATAGTTAAAGGTATAAATGACCGTCACTGACCATCGGATTATGTTACTGTGCATAGGTGCAGTCTCATTATCAATGTTGCACACAAACGCGGGCCTAGCAGTTACAAGTATTCAAGATGAGTGAAAACTAGTAGAGATACGAGTACAAGTGGCCGTTGTTGCTCATTGGATTGGGCCCGGCGCATATGTGGGGAACGTTAATTAGCGTCGCACATAGACACGGATCCAACAGCTACAATAGGTAGCCGAGGTGAGTGACAACGTCGTACAATAGGTAACCGAGGTGAGTGACAACGTCGACCGTCGTCGTGATGACCGCTTTATGGTGGTCACCACCTACAGAACGTCATAGTTATAATAGGAAAGACGCCCACAGCTATCTGGTAACACTGTATTATCTACAAGCTAGTTATACATATCTAGGAAAGGGGATCATTCACAGCTGTCCCTCGCACTGCCACAACACGTTTGTGCTGTTATCTAACTTTATTCCACTTGACGGAACATGAGATCCATGAGGAAAATGTGTTGTGAGCAGATACACCGAAAAAGATATCCCATTTATTAAATCTGATGTATCTAAAGCAAACAAACGCCTGCGGCTGATCTTATAGGGTGGCATTTGCATTAAATACTTTTAAGATGTTTTATGTCGCGTAAACCGGCAAAAGATACAAATCGGCGATGACCTTGACATTTCGCTCACTTAAACAAAATGCTACGTGCAACATGTCACTGGAAGATGCAAATTGGCTAGATTAACTCCCCATTAAAATAGCAACTTCGAAAACCCTTTGGTTTCGGCGAACTCAGTTTGGGTGTGTCAATAGCCTGCGGTGGGCGGAGCCACCGACAGCCAATGAAATATGAATTTGGCGCCCATAGTAGTCTCGGAATTCGTTTAAACCACTGCTAATAAAACTCAAGCGCATGGGGAGATCTCATACACCCCAACAACTGCCGTCAAATGTTGAAATTTTATGTTAAAGTTTCCCTCTTTCCAACCACGGTTTCAGAGAAATTTTTAGGGCATATCTAGGGCGTGGCCACGCCGCAATTGAATTAAGAGTACCATTCCAAACTTTTGGACCCTTCCAGGAGTCCTGGAGTCCCAGTGAGTCTAGGAAAGTGTCCTACCGCAATTATTCCGCAAAAGTAATGTTTGCTTCGGTATAAAATTAACTTTGGTGAGCTGCAAAAAATATGAACGCAGATTGAAATGATTTTTGGTCGACCACACACTAACGTAAATTCACCCTTACGGCGTAAAAAGCTTTATGCCACTCAGTTTTTTTCAGCTGAGTGGCCAAGCAGTCCCGCGGTAGGCAATGATAGTATTCAGTCTCTAGTGAAAAGAACAGATTACTCATGTTAATCAGATAAAATGTCACAAGGAGAACAATCCAAGTAAATCTTGACTCACAATTACAACATAAAGTTCCGCCGAACGAGCACACCCGGAAGAGAGAATTCTGTTTTTCGATATTCCAAATCTCCGGTAATCGGGATATCGATCCAGTGTTCTTAGGTAAAATTTTTGTTGACGTTCAAAGTTAGCAGCAACCAATGATAGCCAACCGACGGTCAAAACAACAGCCGCCTAGCAAAAGTCCCAAAGTCAAGTTGGGCCCAAGAAACGGACGACTGCGATTCCAGTTCAGTAAGACAAATTTTTTGTACATTAACATGACCGATATTGTTATGGAAATCTGTAAAACTTTGAGAGCATTTTACGGTTTCAAAAAATCACCACCAACTGCCACAAATTTGTGTTTAAGTTTGCTGGAGGAAATACTCTAGTTGCATCTCCAGCCTAACACGGATTTCTCCCAGACCGTTCATGCGCAAAAAACCTGTTGGTGTTTATGGACAGCTTAACCCAAGCCAAGGACAAAAGAGTCATACCGGATGCCATAATTTTCGACTTCTCAAAATCATTTGATAGGGTCCAACATTTTCCGCTTCTCCACAAACTCAAGTCTTACGGGATTCAAGGGAAAATCCCAGTGATGGATTAAGGCGTTCCTGTGAGACAGATCATTCCGAGTGAGAATAGGCTCGACCTGCTCTTCTCCAGCGCCGGTCTCCATCGGAGTTCCTCAAGGCTCCGTCCTAGGACAACTGCTGTTTCCCATCTACGTCAACGACCTCCAAGATGTTCTTACAAGTCCATGTCTACTTTTTGCGGACGACTTGAAATCCTGGGATTTCAATGCCGGTGCCCTCCAAATGGATATAGACGCTGGAAAGCAGTGGTCGTTTGACTGGCACCTTTCTCTGAATGACGAAAAGTGCGTCCACATGTCGTTTTGAGGAGACTCGGCGGATGCCTTTGTTATGCATTGTGAGAAAGGACCAGAAAACATCATGAGGATAGATGACAGAAAGTATTTGGGCATATGGCTCTCCTCAAACTCGCCTTTCTCCCTGCATCATGAGAAATCGGCCCGAAAGGCATTTGCCATTTTACGGATGATCCGGCGACCTTCTCCCGTATTACTCGCTGGACTTCCAAAGACTCTATGGGGCCTAAGTCAGACCGCTCCTGGAATACGCTAACCAAGTTGTCTACTCAGGACGCATGAAAAACGTCACCCTCACTGAGCGTGTCCAGCGAGCCGCCACGAGAATGGTTGCCGGCCTCAAATCCGTGGACTACGAAACGCGTCTCGTGATGCTTTATCTCTTCCTCATGGAGTACCATCGCCTCCGAGAGGACCTAATTCTTACTTGCGCCCTGTTTGAACAAAACTTGGCAAACAGGTTTTTTACCGTTGACCCAGCAAACACCCGGCGGGGACATAGTAAGAAAATTTTCAAGCTCAGGGCACACA